CTACTCGCCAACAGACCGCGGCCGCTGTTCAGTCTGTTAACAAAAGGCGGAAAAATGTCCGCAGGAAGTCCCGCCCTAACCGGATGTACAAGCACCAAAATGCTCCGAACCTTGCGTGCTCAGGCGCAGTGCTTTCTGGGTAATGTAGTTTTTGCAACGGCTCATAGGAAGGCTCATCCAGACCATTGTCCCTGGTGAGAATTTGTGTTGAGGCCCCACAAGTGGTACTGGAAATGGGACTGGAGGTTTGCTTACCTGGTCCACAGGGACAGAACTCTCAGGGGAAGCGGAAAGGAAGCCTGAAACCGATCCACCAAGCAATATACATGGAGTGGCCAGATTTTTATGATATTGGAAGGCATAATAATCTGGCCATTTAGTGTTTATGTACTTATATATTAGAGGCCCAGTGCATGAATTCGTGCATGGGTGGGGTCCAGCCAGCTTGTCCTAAGGGAGGGGTCATGGTCGGTTAGCTGAACTCCTGATGAAGGGGACAATTTACCTATTAGTCTTTTATTATAAAGGATATACACTGAGTGGCCAGATTATTATGCCTTCAGAGATCATAATAATCTGGCCAGTCAGTTTATATTCAAGGGGAAATGGGGGACATCTGTAATATTATCAATGACAAAAAATACTTTTTAAAAATTTTAATACTATAGCCTACAGTCAGTGGTTGAGCATCAAGCTGTGAACTAAAGTCATGGTTCTATTCCTGGTCAGGGCACATACATGAGTTGCAGTCTCAATTCCCATGGAGAGAAGAGGTACAGAAAGAGGCCAATTAGTAATTCTCTCTCAACATTAATGTTTCTCTCTTCCTCTTCCTTCATCCCTGAAATAAATTATTTTTTGAGCCAAAACCAATTTGGCTCAGTGGATAGAGTATCGACCTGCAGACTGAAAGGTCGCAGGTTTGATTTCGGTCAAGGGCTTGTACCTTGGCTGCAGGCACATCCCCAATAGGGGGTGTGCAAGAGGCAGCTGATCAATGATTCTCTCATCAGCCGAAACCAGTTTGACTCAGTGGTAGAGCGTCGGTCTGCGGACTGAAGGATCCCAGGTTCGATTCAGGTCAAGGGCAGGTACATTGGTTGCGGGCACAATTCCAGTAGGGGGTGTGCAAGAGGCAGCTGGTCGATGTTTCTCTCTCATCGAAGTTTCTAGCTCTCTATCTCTCACCCTTCGTCTCTGTAAAAAGTCAATAAAATATATATATATATTTTAAAAATGATTCTCTCATCAATGTTTCTAACTCTGTCTCTTTTCCTCTCTGTAAAAATCGATATATTTTTTAAAAGATATTTTTTTGAATGTATGACTTAAATCAATTGTACTTAAACGTTAAAAAGGCTTAAAATTTTACGCTTCCCAATAATTTTACTATGTTATTATGAAAGTTATGGAGCACATTTGTTGCAACTATATAGGTATGTTGGAAATAAAATATAATCATGTGCTAATGAAATGTCTTTTTTAAATTCTTTATTAAAGGAAATTAATGAAACTTTTTAAAAATATATATATATATTTTATTTTTTACAGAGAGGGAGAGGATTGAGAGCTAGAAACATTGATAACAGAGAAACATCAACCAGCTGCCTCCTAGACACCAACCAATGTACATGCCCTTGACCATAATCGAACCTGGAACCTTTCAGTCCACAGACCAACGCTCTATCCACTGAGCCAAACCGTTTCTGGCTGAAATGTCGTATCACGTGCATATTCAATGTTATCACCTTGGCAATTGAAAACAGACCATGATGAGAGTTTTTATGCCACGAAAATTGATAAATTGCACAAACCTAGACTTTATTTAATATATTAATAAATGCTTAGAATTAAATAAGAGTGGCTCTGAATATTAGCAATGCAGCTTAAATGTATAAATATATAAGTTGGCTTCATTTGTACATAATATTAAAACTGAGTAAAACATATGTAATACCTTAATCAATAAAAATTTAAAATAATTTCAAAAACTGAATAAAGCTCTGACGGGCTTGGCTCAGTGGACAGAGTGTCTGTCTGCAAATTGAAAGGTCCCAGGTGCGATTCTGGTCAAGGGCATGTACCTTGGTTGCAGGCACATCCCCAGTAGAGGGTGTGCAGGAGGCAGCTGATCGATGTTTCTCTCTCATCAATGTTTCTAACTCTCTCTCCCTCTCCCTTCCTCTCTATAAAAAAATCAATGAGAAATATATTTTTTAAAAAACACCTGAGTAAAACAATTTTTCTTCTAGGATTCAAACTTGTGGCTCCATATGGCAAAGGAGTCACTTGAGTCACTGAGGAATGTGAAAAATTGAAGCATATTTCTTAGATGCTGCACAGTTCTGCTTCAGTTAAAATAAATTTATTTAGGCAATTTGAAAAATATGCTCAGCAGATATTTTAAAAATATATTTTTTTTACAGAGAGAATGGGACATTCAATACCCCAAGTATTGCCTGTAAAAGTATGAACAATATGAACTACTTTATTGTAAAAAAGGAAAGTCCATGACTGCATGGAGGGCTGAGAGAGATTATAACAGGGTATTAGGAAAATATAGCATGTGGCAAAAAGCAGGCTTAGAGTTGCTGGTATGGAAGACAATAATTAATGATAATAATACACAGGAATAAACTCTACCCAGGTCAGTTATCTCAGCTGCTTGGGTGTCATCCCATTCAATGAAAGGTCTCTGGTTTGATTCTAGGTCAGTGCACATCCCCAAATGGAACCCCAATAGTGGGCATGCAGGAGGCAGCAGATCTATGTTTCTCTCTCTTATTCTCTCTTCGTCTCTCTCCCTCCAAAAAAGAATAAAGGTATTTTTAAAATATTTTAAAAAAATAATTATCTGCTGGGACCGGTTTGGCTCAATGGATAGAGCGTCGGCTTGGGGACTGAAAGGTCCCGGGTTCGATTCCGGTCAAGGGCATGTACCTTGGTTGCGGGCATATCCCCAGTAGGGGGTGTGCAGGAAGCAGCTGATTGATGACTCTCTCTCATAGATGTTTCTAACTATCTCTCTCCCTTCCCCTCTGAACAAAATCAATAAAATATATTTAAAAAAATAATAATAATCTGTGTTTTCTAAACTTATCAGTGTGAGCCTATTGTTGCCCCACCCTGTGTATGCGTTACAGGTGGTTTATGCCACATGTGACAGTTTCACAGCTTTATCTCTAGGTCAGGGCTCACCAAACAGCACACAGGAGGAAGGTGCACTTCGTGGCACGTCAGTTCTGATTTTCAGGGAGGACCAACCTTACTTCGGTGGCAGCAAATATTGACAAACAGTAAAGACTAATTGCCATTGGAATCAACAGAAATGCTCACTGTTGGCAAAGGACACACATCCTGGGACTGATTAAGCATTATCCTTCCTCTAGCTTTGAGTTCTTGCCTGTTGAGCTACAACCTTGAGGAGAACAACCTAGAGGGGCTAGGGGAATAAACAAAATAAAAATTTTTTTAAAAATCACAGGATATGATTTTGTCTGCCATTGACTCCAGCTACAGGAAATAGTGATGGAGGTCCTCAGGATGTATTCAAAGATCATACAAGATACAGGCCCTGGAATACTGTGGACTTATGTCCAGATGAGGCACTTTACATCTAGTTTAATTGCAGTGTCTGCCATGACTATGAAAACAGTGTTTAGGTCCCAAACTAATTCTACCTCAGAGTCTTACAACCAATGACACCAGCCTACAAAATCTCACACATCGTGAAACATGGCCTCTTTGGAACACATGGACAGTAGTTCCCCTAAACATTGCTGACACTTATGTACTACTGCAAACACAGAAGATAATTCATATTGTTCACAGGAACACAATAAAGGCCACTTGTTCAGGGTGACCACTGACCTCTACAATAAAAGAGGCACCAGACAGCACATTAGAACCACAAAGTCAAGCATACTTTCTATCAAGGCCTTGGTCGGCAATTTAGAATCAGCCAATATTGAACAAGGAGTGACTTTCTGCCATCAAGCTGTGCCTTCCAAATCACAGAAAGTTTGACACCCCACCACATCTGTTCACCTGTCCATGCTGACAGAACACAACTTTCCTTTTAATAATCCCAAGGAGAGAATAGAACCAACAAAATTAAAAAAAAAACTCCTTTACATAAAGATCATAAACCAGAGCAGAGGACAGCAAGAGGTTTGCAGGTTGGTGAATTGGAACCTGAAACACTTCAACACAGCATAATGTGAGACACACAATGTCCCTGAAACAGGTAGCACTTCTTTTTTTTTTTTCTTTTTTCCTTTTTTTAATTTCTTTTTAAAAATATTTTATTGATTTTTTACAGAGAGGAAGGGAGAGAGTTAGAAACATTGATGTGAGAGAGACATCGATCAGCTGCCTCCTGCATATCCCCCACCGGGGATGTGCCCACAACCAAGGTACACGCCCTTGACTGGAATCAAACCTGGGACCTCTCAGTTCGCAGGCTGACGCTCTATCCACTGAGCCAAACCGGTTTTGGCGAGGTAGCACTTCTTGGTGGAGAAAGTAGGCTCTCTACAAAAGCTGGGCCAGATCAATTCTCTGGTCAGAAATAAAGGAATGAAGATACATCCAGGAGCCTAGAATATTCATAATTTTCTCAAGCACAACCATAAAGTATGCAAGGGTTGTGACGAGGCACACTCTTCAGGTGAGCCAGGTGGTAGGAGTGAAAGAGCTCCCACACAAATGCTTGCAGTGACATCAATGAGGCTGTAGTCCTGAGTAGATTAGCAAGTGCGACGCCGTTTCTCAACGTTGTCACTTATACCTGAAACTTAGGCGGCATCTAGGAGAGTGTATGTTCTGATAAAGGGGTTTGAATTCAGGTAAGTGGGGGTAAAAGCTTTGTCTTTGGTGCTGTTCTTCTGAAGGAGAAAGTAACATTCCCAGCACATTTAAAGCTCTTTTCCAACGGAAACTCCCTGATGCTCTGTGAGAGTGACGATTTGCTCAAATGAGTTCCGACAATCACTACACTCTTACGGTCTTTCACCGGTGTGAACTCTGAGGTGGTGAATGAGGTTACAGCTTTGACTGAAACACTTCCCACAATCACTACACTCGTAAGGTTTTTCACCAGTGTGAACTCTGAGGTGTTGAACGAGGCTGCAGCTTTGACTGAAGCACTTCCCACAATCACTACACTCATAAGGTTTTTCACCCGTGTGAACTCTGAGGTGTTGAATGAGGCCACCGCTTCGACTAAAGTACTTTCCACAATCAGTACATTGATGTGGCTTTTCTCCGGTATGAACTCTCTTGTGCATAACAAGGTGTGTAGTTTCCTTAAAATATTTACCACATTCACTACACTTATATGGTTTTTCTCCAGTGTGAACCTTGCTGTGTTTAGTGAGGGAAGACCTACGATGGAAGGACTTCCCACATTCACGGCACTCGTAAGGTTTTTCTTCAGTGTGAATTTTACGATGTCTGCTTAAGTTAGAGTACTGACTGAAGGACATCCCACAATCACTACATTGGTATGGCTTTTCTCCAGTGTGAACTCTCTGGTGGGTGAAGAGGACAGAACTGCGGCTAAATGACTTTCCACATTCACCGCATTTGTAAGGCTTTTCTCCAGTGTGAACTCTCTTGTGGATAAAGAGGTAATAATTGGAGGTAAATGACTTTCCACATTGACTGCATTTGTAAGGCTTTTCTCCAGTGTGAACTCTGCGGTGTTTGGTGAGGTGAGCTTTTTTCCTGAATGCCTTCCCACATTCACTACACTCATACGATTTTATTCCAGAGCAGTCTCCCTGACGTTGAACAAGGTTCTGGCTATGGCTGGCAGCTTTTTCACATTCATCCCATTGGTGATGTCTTTTTCTATTGAGAAATTTCTGGAAAATCTCACTGCCACTGTGTGGATCCTCAGTGTTGGGAGGGGCCTGGTGCTGGCAAGGCTCTGAGATGGCTGGGAAGTCTTCCCCAAGTTCCTTACTGGTTGAAGGCAGCCCTGATAAGTAGAAACTGAACCTGGTCACAAACGAGGCCCCGTCCACAGCTTCTGTCCAGGGCTTCTCTCCACTGGCTTCCCTCTGTGGCTGGTGAGGGTTTGCACTGAAACAGAAGTCTCTCACACATGCATCACTGAAGAAGGCTTTCTGCTCAAAGTCTACTGCTTGTAACTCACTCAGGTGCAGAATATCTTTTAAAAACAAGAAACACCTCCGGCAGGGATGGGTCCTCTGGATTGCTGGAGCTGTCTTAGAAGCACTGACTTGTGACTCCCCTTGTACAGATACACTCTGCTCAGAACATGTCTCCGCATCATCTGTTTTATGCCCACAACCTGAAAATAGAAAAATGGTGATGAATATCGACTGTGGTGACAGGGAAAAATCTTATTTCCAACGTGTGTCCCACAAAATGTGCTGGTTCCATGCAACTCTCTGAGAGTAACATCTGGAGGAAGGATTGATAAGATGCTGCTATGGCAGAAGCCGGTTTGGCTCAGTGGATAGAGTGTCGGCCTGGGGACCGAAGGGTTCCAGGTTCAATTCCGGTCAAGGGCATGTACCTTGGTTGTGGGCACATCCCCAGTAGGGGGTGTGCAGGAGGCGGCTGATCGATGTTTCTCTCTCATCCATGTTTCTGACTCTATCTCTCTCTCTTCCTCTCTGTGAAATATCAATAAAATGTTTAAAAAAAAAAATGATGCTGTTATGAAGATCTGAGCCACTAAAGTCACCAAACAGGGAAAATCTCCAAAAAAATAATATGAAAAAAATATGGCGAGCACCCATGGAACAGAAACTGGATCATCTGTTCATTCTTCTGCTAAGTGTTCAATAGGGCTTGTCTGTTGGGAACATGGACCAGTTGTGCAGAAGGTAGCTTACATCTTATTCCACGTAAAATTCAAGAAATGAGAAGCTTGTGTCAAGATCTAGTGAAGTACGTCTGTGCACCTCATAACACACATGCAGATGAATATCTGAGAATATTGCAGATAGAGCAGTTCAGAGGAACAGGTGATGGAAAAGGGGCAAAAAGGTGAAGGTAGCCAGAAACCAGGAAGCCACATATTAAAATATAAGTCAGGGAAATGTCAAACATGGGAATGAAATGGTAGAAATGAGCTGTTGCTAGTTGCACCTTAACCTAAACTCTGTTGGACAGGAGCAGGTTCCAAGTATGTTCTAAACAACACCCTTATATCATAGTTCCCACAAATTGGAACTCAGGAGGGCCAGGTAACCCTTTAGATCATGTTTTATGTTCAACCTGTGAAATGAACAGGGCTCTCCTTGTACCTTCTACTGTACAAGCACATAAAACATAAATATTCTGAGTTTTATTGACAGACAACAGAGCTCAGTAGGCAGCACTGGCCCAAAGCAAGACAGCATGCAGTAGTATTCAGGCAACAGAATATTACAAACAATGGAAGGAGGTCCTTCAAGAACCACCCATGGTGCATGCAAGTAAAGACAATAACCGGGCACAGTCAGTCCCAAAGGGCCTTTAGCTGGAGGAATGGTGCAGAAGGGAAGCCATGGATGTGAATATAGACACTCTCCCAGAAGGAGAATGTGCAACCTGGGCCCGTTACGCTGTTTGCAACAATCCTGACCTCTAGACACTTCCTCTCCGGTGTGAGGGATATTCCTGGAGTCCTTTGCTCGGGGATCCCCTCATACTCCTTACTCTCACCACAGCACATCTGACAGGATAATGGAATAAAATGGAAGGGCCCATGATCTGGCTGTGGGAGAGAAAGCTATGTTTTGAGAATAAAGAAAGAGAGGACATGCCAAAACCGGTTTGGCTCAGTGCCTAGAGCATCGGTCTGGGACCTTTTAGGTTCGATTCCAGTCAAGGGCAAGTACGTTGGTTGCGGGCACATCCCCGGTGGGGTGTGTGTAGGAGGCAGCTGGTCGACGTATCTCTCTCATCGATGTTTCTCCCTTCCTCTCTGTAAAAAATTAATAAAAATAAAAATATTTTTAAAAGCCGAAACCAGTTTGGCTTAGTGGATAGAGCGTCAATCTGGGGAATGAAAGGTCCCGGGTCCGATTCCGGTCAAGGGCATATCCCCAGTAGAGGGTGTGCAAGAGGCAACTGATCGATGATTCTCTCTCATTGATGTTTCTAACTCTCTATCCCTCTCTTCCTCTCTGCAAAAAATTAATAAAATATATATATTTTTAAATATAAAAAAAAAAAAGGAATAGAGGGCATCACTTGAGGACACAGGGACAATGTGAAGCTCTTACCTACAGATGAGACCAGTGCAAACACTTCCAGCATCACCTCGCAGCACAGAAGTCTCTGAGCCTCATCAAGGAGCTGCCACTCCTTCTGAGAGAAGGCAATGGCCACGTCCTCAAAGTCCATATCCTGTGATAATGGGGACAAGTCAGTCCATGATCAGCTTCTCTGCTAGGATTTTACTTTTATCATAAACCCCAATACCCACATCCACCGTTTCCCTCTACACCCCGCATCACAGAAGATAGCAGACCTTGCATCCATCAGAGCCACTCTCTCCTTATATTCCTCCAATACTGTGTCTTCTCACAGCAACAGAGCAGATGCCCAGATTGATCATACCCGACTTCAGGGTCTCACATTACGGATCAACCCTATGGGTATCACCAACATAGAGTACAGATTAATGTTGGCCATGAAGACAGATGTCAGTGAGTAGACAATGGTCTTGTGGGAAAATATTCTTGTTGTCCAACACATTCTCCTTCCAAGACCCAAAAAAACAGGCATCACTCATTATACTTTTTAAAAATATATATATATTTTATTGATTTTTTTACAGAGAGGAAGGGAGAGAGCTAGAGAGCTAGAAATATTGATGAGAGAGAATCATCGATCAGCTGCCTCTTGCACACCCCCACCGGGGATGTGCCCACAACCAATGTACATGCCCTTGACCGGAATCGAACCTGGGACCTTTCAGTCCACAGACCGACACTCTACCACTGAGCCAAACCGGCTTCGGCACTCATTACACTTTCGATTCCAATCTAGGAGGCTGATACCAACACTTTGCGCAACCTGTTCCACATAATTCTTTGTATCCCACTTCTCTCACACAGCTTCATTCCCAGAGTCACAGCTACACACACACACACACACACACACACACACCATGAAGAGGAGGGATGTTCCTAATCACCCTCTTTTCAACATTCTAACTCACCTCCTCCATAATGTATTTCTCTCTTACCCTTCTCCCTTCTCCAAACCAGTAGATTTTCAGGCCCAGGTGACACTGTTGTATCCGTTCCCATTCCCATTGATCACCGTGCCAGCCCAACAGCAGGCAGCTGTGCACCCATCTGACACCTAAATTCTGGACCTGGCATGTAGCGCCACAACGCCCATCTTTTCAGGAATTACCCTAAAATTCCCCACGTTGTGTAATCCAGTCATCACCAGAAATGGACTCAACCTTCATTCACTCTATGACAACATCAGGGAGCTGTGGCCATGAATTCACATGCCCTCTCAAAGACCACATCACTCCTTCTCCCACACCTGTGCTCCTGTAGCCCAGCTCCCATAGACATCTCCTTGGTCTTAGTTATTACTCAGCATGTGTGTTCCAGAGGATGAATGGCAAGTTCAAATAGTATCAAGGACTAACTTGAGTCTGATTGCCCACACACACCCAAGACACAACCTTCAGTCCTGCTATGAAGGCCTCAAACCCAACTTGTTTTTTTTTCAACCTCCTCTATTGAGAACCACATCAAATCTCAGTTACCCAGAGCCCACATTTACTGCTGCTGCACTTGATGTCCCTTTTCCACTCACAGCCCTCAGGACTCAAGTCCCACCGCCTACGGCCTTCTACCCCCATGCCCAGTGAGTCCCACAGATGTCCACTCAGGCCCATATGCAAATCAACCAAACTGGATGCAACACACCAGGCCATACACAGAGTCACAAGAAATCCTGTTAAGTGTTTAACAAGTATATACACACCAGCCACATCTCACCTTTTTTGAATTACTCTCCTACCTCCAATAAAATAAAATGAAAAGGTGATCTACAACTCCTCCCTGGTCCATACTCTTTACTATTTTTTTAAGTAGTCTTCATCATGAACTACTCAGAGTTCCAGATGGTCATGAACTGGACTCTGAAATATCTAATAGGAGAAATAAAAGATTTTATGTTCCTCATGGACATTACTTTTCCCACTATGAATTTCTCCATGTCAGGTGATGGTGCTTTTATACCTTCAGGTGCTAAATCCAAACCTTTACATCATCTCTGATTCCTACCTCGCTCTCCAAACTTCAAAATTAGAAAATCCAGGTGGCCACACCTAAATCTCTGATCCCTAAGGCAACTGGTTCTTCCACATCCACAACCTCCACTGTGCTCCCGTCACCATCACCCTCACCAAGGCCATCACAGCAGCTTCCATTGTAGTCTTCCTACCCCGTCCTCACACCCATGCTGTGCATCATGCTGCAGTCATAGGAGCCTGAGACCTGGGACACATCCCCTGCTCTACTGCTCCAATGACCCCAATGACCCCACCACCAGCAGAAAAGAAGCCCCAGTTGTCACAAAGCTCCTCTGGACTTGATTCCTGTCCCACTGTTTCTGTTGGAGACAGGGTGTAAGCTGACACGGTCCTTGCACCCGAAGGGGCTAGTGTTCCCAGGCTTGTTGGGATGGTGATTATCAGTAGAATGACGGCAACCTTTCACGACTTGCCAAGAAGTTTGTAACTATTTACTGAGATTTGCTGTACCAAGAATTTGTCCTTCTGCTCGGTCTCTCCCTTAGAGATTAAGAGGAAGGAAGAGAACATTATTTTGACAGACTTCCTATTCAAGTGTTTGGGTAAAAAAGGTATTACACAGTTAATAAAGCTGCTGCAGGCCGTCAATGGCTACCTGGAGTCCTCCCGATCCCACTTTCCTGTCCTTTCTTATCTCAATTCCCACCTCCCCTCCTCGGCTGGCCCGCTTCAACTTGTCAGGCTTTCAGTTCCTATTATTTAAGCATGGAAACCTGCTCGGCGCTGAATCAGCTTAGTCTTTACTTCAAGCCTTGGCACATTCTGGAACCTATGCAAGGAAGGCCCTATTACCCACAATTCCACTGGCTGCAAAAATCAGATATCACTCATATGACCCTTGACCCAGGCTTAGGATTCCAGCCTTGGTGTCCCTTCCAGGTCCAAGGTCCCCCGAGGAGAGCGGCTGGACAGCCCGGGCCCCACAGCCTGAGGCCCCCACAGCGGGAGGCCCTGACCTCAGCCCCCAGCCCGGCCCCTGAGCGGCTCTGGCCGCAGGGCCTGTGGGAGCTGAAGGCGCTGAGGGCCCGGCTCCGCCGCCAGGACCCGGGGCCCAGGCTGCTCGGGGCCCGGCCCAGCCCCGGGGCCGGGGCCGCCGCCCCTCGGGCTCTGAGGACAGGCCTCCTCCCGGAAGCCCTCCGGCCCCTCAGACACACAGGCCGGCCCCTCCCTCCGCCCGCGGCCCCCGGGCCCAGCCCGCCCACTGCGGCCCCCACGGGCACTCACTGCTCCGGGCGGCGGCCTGGGCTGGGCCTGAGCGGTGCCGCCCCGAGGCGGGAGGGCCGCTGGGGCCGCGGAGGGCGCTCTGTCCGCGGGGGAGGCGGGGCACGGGGACCCAGTCCCGCCGGGTGGGGGCGCCCCGCCTCAGACACTCCTACTCGCAGCCTGAGCGCTGCCGCTGTGACTCTGCGAACACCCGGAACAGGCCGAAATGGCCCCAGGAGGACGCAGGAAGTCCCGCCCCAAGCGGATGTGCAGGGCACCAAGACGCTCCTAACCCTGCGTGGTCTTGAGCAGTGCTTTCTGGGTAATGTAGTTTTCGCAACAGCTCAGAGGTGGCCTCATCCCAGCCAATTTCCTTGGTGATTACAGGTGTTGAGGCCCCACAAGTGGTGCTGGAGGAGGAGATGGGGTGGTCTGCTTACCTGGTCCGCACGGACAGATCCACCGAAGAATACATATAAGGGGGAAATGGGAGACATCGGTAATGCTATCAATAAAACATTTTTTTTTTTTTAATTTTAAACATTTTAGCCCAGCTCTCTGTGGTTCAGTGGTTCAGAATCGACCCTTGAACTAAGAGGCCATGGTTTCATTCATAGTCAGGACACATACGTAGGTTGCAGACTCCAATCCCACGGAGAGGGAAGGTACAGGAAACATCCTATCAGTGGTTCCCTATCATCTTTGATGTTTCTTTCTTCCTCTCCGTTCCTCCCTAAAATTAAATAAAACTATTTTTTCAATGTATGATTTAAGTGAATTGTACTTAAATCAATCTCTAAAAAAGGTTTAAAGCCTGAGGATTCCCAAAGGTTTTACTGTGTTATTATGAAAGTTCTGGCCAAAACCTGTTTGGCTCAGTGGATGAAGCGACAGCCTGAGGACTGAAAGGTCCCCTGTTTGATTCGGGTCAAGGGCATGTACCTCGGTTGTAGGCTCATCTCCAGTGGGAGGTGTGCAGGAGGCAGCTGATCAATGTACCCCTCTCATCGATGTTTCTCTCTCTCTCACTTCCTCTCTGTAAAAAAATCAATAAAATATATATATATTTTTTTTTTTAAAGAAAAAGAAAATTTCTGGAGCACATTTGTTGCCACTGTATCAGTATATTGGAAATAAAATACAATCCTGTGCTATTGAAATATCTTGTCAAGTGCATATTCAATGCTATCAGTTTGGCAGTTTAATACAGACCATGATGAGAGTTTTTATGCCAGAGGAATTGACAAATACTAAAAACCTAGACTTCATTTAATGTATTAATAAATGCTTAGACTTATATTAATAGTGGCTCTGAATGTTAGCAATGCATCTTCAATGTATAAGTACATGGTATAAGTTGACTTAATTTAAAACATTGAGTAAAACAATTTTCCTTCAGGATTCAAAACCAATGGTTCCATATGGCAAAGGAGTCACTTGAGTCACTGAGAAATGAAATAACTGCAGATATCTCAGATACTGCACAGTCCTCCTTTAGTTAAAATAATAAATTTATTTATTTTGAAAATTATTCTAAGCAGGCATTTAAAAAAATACATTTTACTGATTTTTTTACAGAGAGGAAGAGAGGAGGATAGAGAGTTAGAAATATCGACGAGACACAGACATCGATCAGCTGCCTCTTTCACATCCACTACTGGGGATGTGCCCACAACCAAGTTACATGCCCCTGATGGGAATCAAACCGGGGACCCTTCAGTCCACAGGCCGATGCTCTATCCATTGAGCCAAACTGGTTTCAGCTCTCAGCAGACATTTTTAAAAAAATATATTTTATTGATTTTTTACAGAGAGGAGAGAGGGATAGAGAGCTATAATAGAAACGTCGATGAGAAACATCAACTAGCTGCCTCTTGCACATCCCCTACCGGGGATGTGCCCGCAACCAATGTGCATGCCCATGACCGGAATCAAACCTGGGACCTTTCAGTCCGCAGACCGACACTCTACCACTGAGCCAAACTGGTTTCGGCTCAGCAGACATTTTAACAAAACTGATAAATATTGTAAATAAACATACGAAAAAATGTTCACCATAAAAAATTCTTAGGTAGATGGAATTAAAAGGAAAGCGAGTTAATATTATACGCATTTCCAGTGTTACTATTTGAAAAGATTAACCATTTTAAGTCCCTGCAGGGAAGCAGGAAAATTAGAATTTTTATATTCTGTGGGTTAGGGGTAAGGCAAAGGGAATGACCATACTGGCTCACAGTTCCCCATTATCATACACATAAAAATTTCACTGCACACATTTTGGTAAGTGAAACATATGTCTACATAGAGAACTGAATGCAAATACTCCCAGAAGTTATTTATAATACCCCAAACATGGAAATAACAAAAAACATTGACAGGCCCTATCCAGTTTGGCTTAGTGGATAGTGTCAGCCTGAGGACTGAAGGGCCCGGATTCAATTCCGAAGGCCAAGGGCATGTACCTTGGTTGCGGATATGTCCTTCACAAACATTCCCCACGCACTCTGTGAACTGCAGTCTGCCATCAGTCTCCCCCAAACTCCCCAGACTGACCTTTCACTTCATCCCTGAGGCCTGGGAGGGGACCCCTGGGGGGCACAGCAGAGGCTGGCAGAGCAGCAGAAAGGGCTCACCTGAAGTTGGAGGAGCACATAGAGCCCTCTACAACGCCTCTCTGGAGATTGCCTAGGCCAGTGGTTCTCTACCTTCCTAATGCCGCGACCCTTTAATACAGTTCCTCATGTGGTGGTGACCCCTGACCGTAAAATATTTTCGTTGCTACTTCATAACTGTCTTTTGGCTCCTCTCAATGAACCGTAATGTAAATACCAGTTTTCCGATGGCCTTAGGAGACCCTGCTAGCAGTTCTCAACCTGTGGGTCCCCACCCCTTTCACAAGGAGTCGCCTAATAGAGATTCAAACAGAGCCTATGGGGCCCAGGGGTGTAGGTGGGTGGGTGGGTGGGAGGTAGGACTTCCCTGTGGAGCGTGGCTACAGAGTTTGGACAGGTTCAAGCCTTGGACTGAAGAGAGGCCAAAGTCCTCTCATGATCAGGTTTTGGGCTCCATCGCAGCAGGTGTGCAGGAGGCAGCCTAACAATGATACTCTCTCATCATTGATCCTTTTACCTCTTTCTTCCTCTTTGATATCAATAAAAATACATATTGTTGCCTGGCCTCCTGGCTCAGTGGTTGGGTGTCAACGAATAAACCAGGAGCTTACAGTTCAATTCTTGGTCAGGACTCATTCCTGGGCTGTGGGCTTGATAACCCAGTGTGCAGTGTGCCAGAGGCAGATCAACGGTTCTCTCTCATCACTGATTTTCTCTCTCTCTCCCTTCTCTGAAATCAATAAAAATACTTTAAAAATATTTTTAAAAAAAGAAAAAAAATATTTTAAAAATATATATGTAGTTGAAATGTGTGTTTTAAATCAATTACACTTAAATCAAACTTTAAAAAACATTAAAAACTTGCCACTTTTTTATTTTCAATTGGCAATAATCGCACCTGGGATAAACCTCATTGGCTAAGATACTACCTCTGCACAAAGCTAATTTTACCATTTTACTAGAAATGTTCTTGAGCACATTCATTGCTACTGTATCAGTATGTTGGAAATAAACTACAATGATGTGCAACAAATATCTTCCCATGTCCATGTTCAAGGACATCATTTTGGCAGTTTGAACATGGTGGGAGTATTTACACTAGGGAAATTGACAAATACTACAAACGTGTACTTCACTTAATGTACTACTAAATGCTTAGACTTAAAAATGAATGGTAGAGAATGTTAACAATGCACATTAAACTTATAAGTGTATGGTACAAATGGGCTATAAATTATAAACAGACAAAAAACTGAGAGAGAAAATAGTCTTTCTATAATTTAAAACCAATAGTTCCATACAGCAAAAAAGTCACTCGAGTCATTGAGAAATGAGTGAATTTCAAACACGCGTCTTAGCTGCTGCACTGTTCTTCTATTGCTTAGAATAATAAATTCACTGTAAACATAGGCAAAAGACCCTGAGCACACATTATAACAAAGGAGGTAAAGACAGTGTAAATAAATGCGTGAAGAAGTGCTCACTATCAAAAATTCATAGGGAAACGTTATTGAAATGAAAATGGGTTCACAGCATACACATTGCGGGCCTACTAGTTGAAAAAATTAACAATCAGATGTGCTGGTAGGTTTAGGGAAAAACTAGAATTTTCATTACTGTGGGTGGGTAGGCAGCAAAGAAAATAACCATTTGGGGTCACAATTCTGCATACATTACACTGTAAAACATATACTGACACTGCAACAGTTCGAGGAGTAAAACATTTACCTGTGGAAAGAACTGAATGCAAATATTCCCAGCAGATTTATTTATAAAACCTCAAGTGTCAAAATAATCAAAGCCACAGACAGATCAATAGACAAAGTGGTTATCCATGGGACACAATATTACTCAGCAATAAAGATGATTACATGATCACATCAAAGTTACTGTTGAATCTCGAATTACCTGTGTAGCATTGAAGCCAGTATTCACAATTTACAAATCTTATACTTCCTATAAAATTGTGAAAAATATGAACTAATCTATTATAAAAGAAGATACACTGATCGTCATTTCTCCAGGATGACCTCTGTGGTGTGACATGAGGGTACACCTATGGTTGCAAGAATTCCCACAATCCTGACACTCGCATGGCTTTTATAGTGTGTGAACTCTCCTGTGGTAAAGGAGGTGACTACTGTACCTAAAAGACTTCCCACATGCACCACACACGTAAGGTTTTTCTCCAGTGTGAACTCTCCGGTGCCGTGTCAAGGTAGAACTCTGTCTGAAGGACTTGCCGCAATCGCTACACACATATGGCTTTTCTCCTGTGTGAACTCTCTGGTGCTCTGCGAGAATCGAGATTCGCCTGAATGACTTCCCGCAATCGCTGCACTCATGGGGCTTCTCTCCGGTGTGAACTCTGTGGTGCTTATGGAGAGCAATGCTTTGAGTGAAGAACTTTCCGCAATCGCTGCACTCGTACGGCTTTTCTCCAGTGTGAACCCTCTGGTGCTCTCGGAGATGGGAGATTTGCCTGAAGGTCTTGCCACAATCGCTGCACTCGTAGGGCTTTTCTCCGGTGTGAACTCTGTGGTGTGTATGGAGAGCAGAGCTCACATTGAATAACTTCCCACAATCACTACACTCGTACGGCTTTTCTCCAGTGTGAACCCTCTGGTGCACACTGAGAGCCGAGATTTGCTTGAATGACTTCCCGCAATCGGTGCACTCATATGGCTTTTCCCCGGTGTGCACTCGGTGGTGTTTGGTGAGGATGGACCTCTGTATGAAGGACTTTCCACAAAGAGTACATTCATAAGGCTTTTCTCCGGTGTGAACCCTCTGGTGTTGAATGAGAGTACTGTTTTCCCTGAAGAATTTCCCGCAATCGGTACACTCATAGGGCTTTTCTCCAGTGTGAATTCTGAGGTGTTTAATGAGGTGAGATCTTTTTCGGAAGGCCTTCCCACAAACAGTACACTCATAGGTTTTTCCTCCAGCATGAACCCTCTGTTGTTCAACGACGGCAGAGGTCTGCCTCAATGACTTCCCATGTTCACTATACTCATAAGACTTTTCTCCAGGGAGAACTCGGTCATGTTTGGTGAGGTTAGATCTCCGATTGAAGGACTTCTCACAATCACTATACTCACCAGTGTGAGCTCTGGTATGTTGCATAAGGTTAAAAATTCCTCTAAAAACATTCCCACATTTGCTACACACATAATTCACTTCATCAGAGCAGACATCTTGATGCTGAACAACTTTCTGGTTGTGGCTGGCAGCTTTTTCACCTTCATCCCAATCATAATGACTATTTCCACTGAGAAATTCCAGTGAAATCTCACTGCCACTGTGTGGCTCCTCAGTGTTGAGAGGGACCTGGTGCTGGAAAAGCTCTGAGAAGGCTGGGAAGTCTTCGCCAACCTCTCCACTGGTTGAAAGCACCCAAGATAAATAGAAGCTGCACCTGGTCACAAACGAGGCCCTGTCCACAGCTTCCCTCCAGGGCTTCTCTCCACTGGCTTCCCTCTGTTGCTGGTGAAGATTTGCACTGAAACAGAAGTCTCTCACACATGCATCACTGAAGAAGCCTTTCTGTTCAAAGTCTGCTGCTTGTGACTCAGTCAGGTGCAGAATATCTGTTAACAGAGAGAAACACCTTCTGCAGAGACGGGTCCTCTGGGTTGCTGGAGCTGTCTCAGAAGCCCTGACCTGTGACTCTCTTTCTACAGATACACTCTGCTCAGAAGAGGCCTCCGCATCATCTGTTTTATGACAGCAACCTGAAAAAAGAGAAATGCTGAGGAAGTTAATGTTGAATATGGTGACGGAGGAATGTTCCATTACAAAAGAGTGTTACACATAACACATGGGTTCTATGAAACTGTCTGAAAATAAAAGATGTGAAACAAGGATTAACAAGAGGCTGCTGAGTCCTAGCTGGTTTGGCTTAGTGGATAGAGCGACGGCCTGAGAACTGAAGGGTCCCAGATTCGATTCCAGTCAAGGGCATGTACCTTGGTTGCGGGAACATTCCCTGTGTGTGTGGGGGGGAGGAGAGGGTGGTAGCGGGGAGAGGTGTAAGAGGCAGCTGATCAATGTTTCTCTCCTTAATGTTTCTAACTCTCTTTTCCTCCCACTTCCTCTCTGTAAAAAAAAAAAAAAAAATCAATAAAATATATATTTTTTAAAAATAGTATTTAGGAAGGACATATTATAAACAACAATTGAAGTAGGGTCTTACAAGAGCAGTCCATGGTTCGTGCTATGATCATAACCTGGCACAAGCTGTCATAAAGAACCTCCAGCTACAGAAGGGAGCAGAAGCAGAAGCCATGGATGTGGACAGTCACCCTCCCACGGAGTTGAACAGCAACGTGGGACCCAGTAAGCTGTCTGCAGGTTTCCTGATTCTCAGATATTAACTGCACTTTTTGAGGCAACGGGTCTTGGGGATGTTGGGTGAGTCCATTGCTCAGGGCTCTCCACACAGGTCACAACTGGCAGCCACAGCACATTGGACGAGAATGTGGGGCATGAGCACAGCCCACGGTCAGGCTTTGAGAGAAAGAAAGCTACATTGAGAGAATAAAGGAAGAGCAGACATCATATCAGGACACTAGAACATATGAGAAGGTCTTACCTACAGATGACACCAGTGCAAACACTTCCAGCATCACATCGCAAAACAGAAGTCTCTGAGCCTCATCAAGGAGCCCCCACTCCTCCTGAGAGAAGACAATGGCCACGTCCTCAAAGTTCATATCCTGTCATAAGGGAAACAGTTCAGTCCATGGTCAGCTTCTCTCCTAGGATTTTATGTTCTTCATATACCCCACCATCCACATCCATCCACTTCCTCTACTCCCCACATCAGAGTAGGTACCAGGCCTTGGTCCCACCAAGGAAAACCTCTCCTTATGGTTCCTACTGATACTGTGTCTTCCCCAGACAATAAAGATCAATGATCAGGAGATCATACATGAAACTGGACCTCACATTAGGCACAGACCACAATATCCCTTGTCAATAACAGTGGGTGTCACCAACAAGGGTAGGAAGAGCCGAGACCGGTTTGGCTCAATGGATAGAGTGTCGGCTTGGGGACTGAAAGGTCCCGGGTTCGATTCCGGTCAAGGGCATGTACCTTGGTTGCGGGCATATCCCCAGTAGGGGGTGTGCAAGAGGCAGCTGATTGATGACTCTCTCATAGATGTTTCTAACTATCTCTCTCCCTTCCTCTCTGTACAAAATCAATAAAATATATTAAAAAAAAAAAAAAAAAAGGGTAGGAAGAAATGTTGGCCAAAGGAGAGTGTGAGTGATTTGACACTGGTCTTGTTAGGCAATATCTTTGCAGTCCCCAGATTGTCCCTGCAAGACACCTAAATCCATGGATTCACACTTCATTCACCCTTTCAACCCCAAAACCAAGGTGCTGGGGCCATCACTATGCACAACCTGCTGCACATTCTTCTTATTTATTTATTTTTTGTCGGGAAGGGCAGCCTGTTTACTGAGTACAGAGGATGCATTTACCAATTGAGTACACAAAATAAATAACTGCACGTTCTCCGCCCATGGCATGACGGCTCCAATGGGCCTGTCAAAGGCCCGTCTTCAAACTCCTTCTGTCCTACCTTCAGGACCAGGCCTATCAGGGGCAAAAGAGGAAGTAATTCCCCAGGGCTTCAGCCACCATTGGCCCTTGGGAAAGTCAGGGCAGTTCTGAGGCCAATGCCGTGAGCCAGGGGCAATGGGAGCAGAAAGAGAGAGTCGATAAGGCACAGTCGACTTGGCCCAGAGTGACCTCTTTGGCTTGGGATTCCACTGGAGGTGGCGCATGCAGGAGGAGGGCCTGGCCCATGGCTGCCGCTGGGAGGAACTGAGTGAGGGCCAAACCCTCCCTGTAGGCAGGGGCCCTGCAGTCTAGCTAAGGCTAAAGCTGGGCCTTACCCATTGGAAGCAGCTGTGCGTGGACGGGGCTTGGTCCCAGCCCAGATGGTGGTGGGGGAAGGCACAATGACTGACGCGGGATGGTCTGGCTCAGGCGTCTAGGAAAACAGCCACCTAATTCCATTCACCACCCGCAGGGGCTCCCTCCAGCCTGAGAGTCAGTGGGGCTCAGACTGGAAAGGTAATGCTGGAGAGGAAGCGGGGACAGGAGGCACTGGGCGAGGCCAGCTGTCAGGAGGCCAGTGCCCCAGGCGCTCAGGGCTCAGAGGCAGATCACACAGTTTGGCTAAATTCCAGGGGAAGCTGCGCAGAAGCTCAGCAGAGGGGGAGTGCAGAGCAGCCCAGAGACCCTCCCTCAATGCAACAGCTCCTCCCTCTGGAATGCTGAAGGGTGAGCATGGTGGTCATTCCTAGGCTTGCCTATACTCCTGCCAGACACTAGATGGCGCCTTCATGCAGCCGTAGAGGAGGGAATAGCAGAGCCTAAAGGGAAAGGGCAATGGGAAGTACCAAGGGTAGAACCAGGGTGGCACTGGAGCCCTGATGGGACTCTCCCTGGGAAGCCCCTGACCTCTGCCTTGGCCCAGATGCCTCCATCCCACAGACAGCAGCAGGGGGGCTCCCTTAGCGTCCCACAGTTGGGAAGGAGGCACCTGGAGAAAAGACGAGGCATCCAAGGGGGAGAGGGAAATAATGAAAAGCTCTGCAAAGGAGGCATCAAGATGATTGACACCAGTCCTAGCCGGTTTGGCTCAGTGGCTAGAGCGTCTGCCTGCAGACTCAAGGGTTCCAGATTCGATTCCGGTCAGGGGCATGTACCTTGGTTGCGGGCACATCCCCAGTAGGGGGTGTGCAGGAGGCAGCTGATCAGAGTTAGAAATGAGACGTTTCTAACTCTCCCTCTGAACTACTAAGACCATGACTCCCGGTATTCAAGTGATCGACAGCCCTGGCTGACCGGGTCTCAGTAGCTGAGCATTGACCCATACGCACAGAGGTGGCAGGTTCCAGGCCTGGTCAGCTCACATGCCTGGGAGATGCGCTGGATCCCCAGCAGGGGTTGAGCAGGGAGGAACTGATCCTTGTTTCTTGGCTCATAGAATTTCCTCTTTCTCTCTCTCAATTCCTTCCTAAGTCTGAAATCAATTCTATATGTTAAAAGTATACCTTCCGATTCCTGAAACAGACCACTTTTCCGTCCGGGCCTTTGCACATCCCGGTCCCTGTGCCTGTGCCCTCCCACACCTCACCCACCCGGTGCCCAAACCAGGGTCCACTTCCTACAGCCCTCGCCGAGGCCTCAGGACCCTGGGCTGAGGGTCTGCAGGTCCCGGGGCAGCAGGAGCGGCTGGACAGCCCGGGCCCCACAGCCTGAGGCCCCCACAGCGGGAGGCCCTGACCTCAGCCCCCAGCCCGGCCCCTGAGCGGCTCTGGCCGCAGGGCCTGTGGGAGCTGAAGGCGCTGAGGGCCCGGCTCCGCCGCCAGGACCCGGGGCCCAGGCTGCTCGGGGCCTGGCCCAGCCCCGGGGCCGGGGCCGGCCCAGCCCCTCGGGCTCCGTCCCTCCGTGCGCACAGCCAGCCCGGCCCTGAGGACAGGCCTCCTCCCGGAAGCCCTCCGGTCCCTCAGACACTCAGGCCGGCCCCTCCCTCCGCCCACGGCCCCCGGGCCCAGCCCGCCCCCTGCGGCCCCCACGGGCACTCACTGCTCCGGGCGGCGGCCTGGGCGGGAGGGCCGCTGGGGCCGCGGGGGGCGCTCTGTCCGCCGGGGAGGCGGGGGCACGGGGACCCAGTCCCGCCGGGTGGGGCGCCCCCGCCTCAGACACCCTGCCCGGCGGGACGCAGCCTCCTGCTGCTCGCCGCCAGGTGGCTGAATCCGGACACTCGGGGACCACACCTCAGGTCTAAATGACCGCCACGAGGAGCAAGCAGGAAGTCCCGCCTTAACAGGATGAACAGCACCGGGAGGCTTGAGCTGCTGTCGGCGCAGTGCTTTCTGGGTAATGTAGTTTGCTAAGCCGCCCAGGCCCAGGGCTGGAGGCCAGCCAATGACATTGGTGAATAAAGGTGTTGTGGGGCTGCCAGGGGGGGCTGGGGAAGGAAAAGATGGGCCCAGAGGCCTGGTGACCTGGGACAGACTGACAGACCTCCCAGGGGAGGGTGAGGAGACTGGAAGAGATCCCCCCCAAAGAACATATACTCGAGGGAAATGGGAGACATCTGTAATACCATCAACAATTAAAAATACATTTTAAAATACTGTAGAAAGAATATAGCCCAGATGGTGTGGGTGAGGGTTAAGCATCAACCTATAAACCGGGAGGTCACCGTTCTATTCCAGGTCATGGCACACAGGAATGGGACGTTCCTTCGGCTGCTAAATCCAAACCTTCACGTCATCTCTGACTCCTCTCTCTTATCCAAAAATATTAGAAAATCCAGGTGGCGACACCTAAAGCACTGATCCCAGATCCAACTGCTTACTCCATCTGCACGGCCACCATCATGACCATCAGGACAGCTTCTGTCCTAGTCTTTCCACCGCCGTCCTCACACCCATATTGTGCCTCATGCTGCCACCAGAGGGCGTCTGAGACCTGGACACCTCACCTGCTGTACTGCTCCAATGACCCGAATGACCCCACCACCAGCAGAACAGAAACCCCAGCTGTCATCATGCTCTTCTAGCCCCGACTCCTGTCCCACTGTTAGCAGTTCCTGTTTGTAAAAATATATACATCTGCCGGGACCGGTTTGGCTCAATGGATAGAGCGTCGGCTTGGGGACTGAAGGGTCCCAAGTTCGATTCCGGTCAAGGGCATGTACCTTGGTTGCGGGCACATCCCCAGTAGGGGGTGTGCAAGAGGCAGCTGATCGATGACTCTCTCTCATCGATGTTTTTAACTCTGTATCTCTCTCCCTTCCTCTCTGTACAAAATCAATAAAATATATTTTTTAAAAAAATTAAAAAAAAAAATATATATATATACATCTGCCGGTTCCTGAGAGCTGTCTTCACTCCAAGCTTTTGCACATTCTGGAACCTATTCATGGAAGGACCTATCCCATCCATTTCCAAAATCAAGGACCCACTCATATGACCCAAGACCTGGACTACAGATTCTGGGCTTGGTGTGCCTTTAAGGTGCCCAAGTCCAGGGCTAGAAGAGTGGCTGAGCAGTCATGGACACCACTACCTCAGAGGCCACAAGAGTGTGAGGTCCTGAAATAAGATCCACCAACCAGTAACCCCAAAGCCATTCTGCCCCTGCAGAAATCCGTGGAAAGCCAAAGGTCTGTTGAGAGTCTGCCAACCACCGCCGGGACCCATGGGCTCAGGCTGCTCAGCGTGCTTCCCCAGACCCAGGCCCAGGTGACCTGGAGATGCCTGCATTACCTCAGCGCTGAATTCTCTCCTAGTTACGTTATCTGTCAAAATATATTGTCCCCACATGCTATCTTCTCCCTTTTTAAAAAAATATATTTTATTGAGTTTTTACAGAGGAAGAGGGAGGGACAGAAAGCTAGAAACATCGATCAGCTGCCTCTTGCACACTCCCCACTGGGGATGTGCCCACAACCAAGGTACATGCCCTTGACCGGAATCGAACCTGGGACCTTTTACGCCACAGGCCGACGCTTTATCCACTGAGCCAAACCGGTTTCGGCATATCTTCTCCCTTCTGTGCTCTTCCTCCGAGTATCTTTGGGAAGTTTAGAACCCTACCTCAGATGACTTGGGGTGTGTGTGTTTTTTATAGCCATCAATGGCCCCAGAGACCTGAGAATCATAGTAAAAAAATATACAAATCTCTGCCTCTTTTTGTTGCCTTCTGACAGAAAGGTGGCTTGGGTTTCTCCAATGCTCCCAGCTCAGTCACCCCATCATGTCCTCAAAGGGTGGAATTGCAGCCCGTCATCCTTTCCCCGGTCACACACACCCTGTCACCCATGAGACTCACTGTTCTGATGCTGGCACCTGGGCTGCAGGACCTGACAGGTGCCCGCACCCGAGGCTGGAGGGTTAAATGGGGATACCGCTGAGTTGAACTCTGTAAGCAGAAAGGAGTCTGGGAGGCAGGGAGGCCTCAATCCCGTCTATTGTGACTCAACAAGCCCCAGAAAGACCACTTCACAGTGGGCTGCTGCCTCTCACGCCTGGTCCCACTGGAGACCTGGCTCCCGGAAGCCAGTCTCTGTGACCACCACCACGGAGGTTAAATGGCCGCCAGGTTCAGACCGTGTGAATCCCACCCTAAACCATGTGCACCTGGATTATGCGCCTGTTCTGGGCTTTCACTGGCTAAACCCAGCCATGGTTAGACCCATGGACCTTTGGGTAACAGTGTATACTTTTTGAGGCCTTGTAGGTGGAATTTAGGATCCTTGATCGTTGCAAATATTGGTGGTTGCGAAGGCAGCTGTCACTGGGAAATGACTACTTTTATTAGTATAGATTAACTTTTATTGATTTTATTTTTAAAAATATATTCTTATTGATTTTTTTACAGAGAGAAAGGGAGAGGGATAGAGAGCTAGAAACATCGATGAGAGAGAAATATCGACCAACTGCCTCCACTGGGGATGTGCCCGCAACCAATATACATGCCCTTGACCAGAATTGAACCTTTCAGTCCGCAGACCGATGCTCTATCCACTGAGCCAAACCCGTTTTGGCAATTTTTATTGATTTTAGAGAGGAAGGGAGAGAGAATTATTGATCAGCTGCCTTCTGCACGCCCCCTACTGGGGATCAAGAGCAGAACCCAGGCATGTGCCCTCGAATGGAATTGAACTTGGGACCTTTCAGCCCACAGGCCAACACTTTATCCACTGAGCCAGACCAGCTAGGGCCCTACTGGCCTTAAAATAAAATTTGAAATAATACAAAGGACAAAATGTTAACAGTTCCTACCTTGTCTGTATGTCTGTGGTCAGTACACATTGTGACATTAAGGAGCTAACAGTTACTACAGGTGTCAGGCCCTGGATTCAATGCTTTACCTGCATCATTACCTGAGATGGTTTAACCATCCATTTTATGGAGAGAAAATTCAGGCTCAAAGATTCAACGTAAATTGCCTGTTTGTAGAGTTAATAAAGGCAGGGCTGGAGGTCAAACCCAGGTGTCTCTAACAACCCTGGCTCCTAATGTTAGGCTCTGCTGCCTCCTAGAGGGTGGAATAGGGGATGCATTCCCATTAGGACAGGCGCTAGACGTTATTGTGGCACTGAGCAGCCCCAAAGCTTTAGTGGCTTAGAGTAAAGGTCTCTTTCTTGTTCACAGCACATGAACACCCTGGTTCTCCTGGGACCAGGATGAAAGAGAGGCCACCATATAGGTACCTCCTAGGTGTTATCAGAGAACAGAAGGCGGCCGGTCTCATTGCTTCCAGACTCTTCTGTTAAAGGTGACAGGCTTCCCTCCCACCACATTTAATTGGTCAAATCACATCAAAGGACTGCAGCCAACTTCATGGGGTCAGCAGGAGAACCTCGTATATTTGATGGGCCTTTAGGAACCTAAAGCCACCACAAAGTGACAACATCTTCAGGGGCTGACCAGGGCAACGAGAGGAGTGGGGATTCGTAGGAAATGGCAGAGGAAGTCAGTCAGGATGGGTCCCCCGTCTCCTCGTCCAGGTGGACTTTGTCCCCAGCTGCCCTAAATGGGTGAACTTCCGACAAAAGAATTTTGTCAGATGGCATTGGCAGCAAACTCCTGCTTACCTGCCACACACCCACCAGGCTTGTGCCCTCACAATAATTGAACTGGCAACTTTTCTGTGCACGGGATAATGCTCAGCCAGCTGAAGCTAAGGAGCTAAGAGTTACTGAATGCTGAGTGTGACCTGGGTAATCGCTGGCTGCCTGTTCCCCCACTGTGGTGGAGGTGAAAACCTCCATATTAACTGTGTTGCCTGGGAAGGTCCAGGACTGCAAACATCCAGCATCTAAGTAATTTTACATCAATATCAATCACTGCCTCCCGGTCTCTGTACCTTTTGCATGGCTCAGGTAAGTGACCCAGCAGGTGGGGCTGATGATAAAATTTTGCCATTAACATTGATGGCGACCCTGTGGTTTCCATTCATATTGTGTATGAACCTGTGCTAAATGCAGTCCCTCCATATATTCCATCATCACCACGGGAGAGAACTGGGCATAATTCTGCTTCCTGGGCGAAGGCAAAGATTTGCAATATTGATGGTTGCAAACCCAAGTGGCACTGGGAAATGACCACTTTAGGTTTTGGAGGCTGGTTTCTGGGGAGTGTTGTCTGTAATGGATCTGTTATTTGATCACATTTCAGATTCCGTGAAGCTCAGAATGCTCCTTGAGGTGAAAAGTATTATTTAACTTACTAGAGGCCCAGTGCATGAAATTCATGCATGGGGGTAGGGGTGGGGTGTGTGCGTCCCCCTCAGCCCAACCTACACCGTCTCCAATCTGGGACATCCCTCTCACAATCTGGGACCACTGGCTCCTAACTGCTTACCTGCCTGCCTGATTGCCCCTAACTGCCCCCACCCTGCTACCTGGTCACCCCCAATTGTACCCCCTTGCCAGCCTGGTTGCCCCCAACTGCCACCCCCACCAGCCTGGTTGCCCCTCACTGCTGACAGAGTCACCCCTCATTCCTCGCCCCAAATCCGCCCTGGTAGCCTTCCGCAACCCGCTGCTCAGTCATCTGGTCACCCCTAACCACCCTGCCGGCCTGGTCGCCCCATGCAGACTGGTTGTCTGTTCGGTTGTTTCGGTTGCACCAGTCACTTAGGTTTTTATATATATATAAATTCCTGCAGACTACAATTCTAAACTTCTTTAATATGACTTTTAGAGAGAAAGGAAATGAGAGGGAGAGAGTGAAACACTGATCAGCTGCCTCCAACTTGCCTCCCACGCAACATCTGGGCACTCAGCCAGGAAACCAGGCTTGTGCCTCACCAATAATCAATCTTACAGCCTTTTCGTGCAAGCCGAGTAGAGGACCAGAGCCCGGGGACCCTGGAGTGATGCTCTGAGCAGCCCAGGCATTTTCCTCCATTCAGTGTCAGCCTCGCTTTCCCACGGGCAGAGGTGACCTGCTCTCCAGACACCAGGGGTCCCACAGGACTGCCCAGCCCCCTCATTCTTAAGAGAGACTTAGGGCCTAGGATTCTTCCCTCTCAGCTCTCCTCCATAAGGCACCCATCCTCTCATTCCTTTCCAGAGATCCAGAGTCCTCCCCAGCTCCCCACCTTCAAACTGGGGTTTTAGGAACTATTCCTTCACTTCATGCCTGAGATGGCCCCCCATGGGGATAACCTAGGTTTGGAAGAGCAGGGACAGAAGGGGCTCAGCCTGGGGTTGGGGAAAAGCGGGCTGAAGAGATCCCTGGATGTGATGCTCTGAGAAGCCCAGGCACTTTCCTCCATTCAGTGTCAGCTGGCCAGCTCCCCTCAGGAAGACACAGGGCTTTGCCTTTGGCTTCCATCTGTCAACTCCTGGGATAGACAGTGTCCCCAGCTGCAGCGGGAGCATCCAGGCAAAGGCAGGAAAGTGTTAGGAGGGTGGGCTGCATAGTGGAGGGTCCATCTCAGCACAGCAGGGGTAGATGGTTATTGGGACTGTTGTTCCTCACCCAAGGATATTTCCCCAGGATTTTGGGAGAGACTGTAATGGGGTGGGAGAATGAGAGAGAGGAGGTGCGAAAAACATGGATGAGAGACAGATTGACTACTTGCCTCCCCCACATGAACTGGTGGGTACCAAGTACTGAACTTGCAACTCAGGTACATGTCCTTAATCCGGGATCTAATTCACCACCCTTGAGGTGAGTGGGTTGACGCTTACCACTGAGCAATTTTCCACTTCTTCATGTTTTGAAGTGCTGCTCAGATTGGAATAAGCAGTCATCTGAAGGAGCAAGGTCTAGTGAATATAATGGGTGGATTAATACTTCCCAGGCAAGGTCTTTTAATGTGTCTTTAATTGGTTTTGAAGTGTGTAATGGTGCGTTATCATGAAGCAAAATTACCTGCTATGTCTTCTGGAACGTTCTGGTCGTTTCATGATCAAAGCATGGTTCAAATTGACTATTTGTTGTCGGTAGTAATCAGTATTAACGGTTTCAACTGGTTTCGGAAGCTCATAATACACCACAACTTCCTGATCCCACCAAACGCAGTGTATTGTCTTATTTCCTAAGCGATTTGGCCTTGCAGTCGATGTTGATGGTTGACCTGAGTTAATCCATGATTTTGTGCATTTGGGATTCTCAAAATAAATCCACTTTTCATCGCCATTCACAATTCGATGCAAAAAAGACTTTCTTTCGTGCCATTGAAGCAACATTTTACTGATGACTTCTCGGTTTTCCATTTGTCCTTCGTTCAGTTGATGTGGCACTCATTTTCCTTCCTTTAAAATCTTTCCCATTGGGTGTAAACAATTAAAAATTGTTTGCTGAGCAACGTTTAATCTTTCTGCAAGTTATTTTTGAATTTGACATGCATCTTCATCCAATAATGCTTGTAATTGTTGGTCATCAAAAATTTTGGTTGACCTGGATGTTGTCTTTCACATCGAAATCATCACTTATATTTAAATCAGCATTCACAAGTATCTTGGCATGGAGCTTGTTGAACATAAGCTTCCCAAAGTATATAAAGTAATGAATTAAAACTTCCCACAAATGCTCTTTCTTTTGCCATGAAATTCAATATTTTTTAAGCATAAAAATATCTATGATGCTAACACCTTCAGAAAATTTGACATATGAAGTTTTGAAGCTTGTTGTCATACAACAAAATAATATACATATCAAATTGCATATATAGCAATCTATGTGTAACTCCATCTAGTGAAAAAAAACCCGTGTTATTAACTGCTATACCTGGTATACTGGTTTCATGCAATGGCCTGAAAATAAAAGATCTGCAACAAGGATTAATAAGAGGCTGCTGAGTTCTTGGCCACTGAAGATCACAAAACAGGGAAGACCTGACCAGAAATATGACTCAAATATGATAAGTACCACATGGAAGAGAAGCAGGATCTCCAGCACAATCTTCTGCTAACAGCCTTCAGCAGGGCTCGTTTGCTGGTAACAAGGGCACACTGTGTAGTAGATTGGTTACATCTTTTCCAAGTAAAATTCAATAAATGAGTAGCTGCTGTTGGACAATTACTTGAGCAAGTGTGTATACCTCATAACATATATGGAGGCACATGTTGAAGAATACTGCAGAGGGAGCAGCTCAGCGGAACAAGTGACATAAAAATGCCGCAATGGGGATAGAAGCCAGAGGCAGGAAGTCACAGATGAAATGACAAGTCAGCAAAGTGTCAATCAAATATGGGCAAGCAAAGGTAGAAATTTGGTGTGGCGTGTGGCACCTGCACCTAAACAATTGGACAGGAGCAGGTTCCTGGTGTGACCTGAAAAAAGCCCTTATGTCACACCTAGTTGTCACTTAGCAGGGCTAGGCTTCCTCCGAGACCATCTTGCATATTCACCCTGTGAACAAATCTGGGTTCTCCGTGCACCATCTACTGTAAAGATACTTACAACCTAAATATCCGAGTATTGAAGAAAGACAACGGAGGTGAGCAGCCAGCACGGGCCCAGAGCAATTCAGTGTGCAATAGTACTTAGGAAAGACTACAAACAACTGAAGTAGGGTCTTACAAGAGCAGTCCATGGTTCGTGCTATGATCATAACCTGGCACAAGCTGTCATAAAGAACCTCCAGCTACAGAAGGGAGCAGAAGCAGAAGCCATGGATGTGGACAGTCACCCTCCCACGGAGTTGAACAGCAACGTGGGACCCAGTAAGCTGTCTGCAGGTTTCCTGATTCTCAGATATTAACTGCACTTTTTGAGGCAACGGGTCTTGGGGATGTTGGGTGAGTCCATTGCTCAGGGCTCTCCACACAGGTCACAACTGGCAGCCACAGCACATTGGACGAGAATGTGGGGGCATGAGCAGAGCCCACGGTCAGGCTTTGAGAGAAAGAAAGCTACATTGGGAGAATAAAGGAAGAGCAGACATCACATCAGGACACTAGAACATATGAGAAGGTCTTACCTACAGATGACACCAGTGCAAACACTTCCAGCATCACATCGCAAAACAGAAATCTCTGAGCCTCATCAAGGAGCCTCCACTCCTCCTGAGAGAAGACAATGGCCACGTCCTCAAAGTTCATATCCTGTCACATTGGAGACAGTTCAGTCCATGGTCAGCTTCTCTCCTAGGATTTTATGTTCTTCATATACCCCACCATCCACATCCATCCACTTCCTCTACTCCCCACATCAGAGTAGGTACCAGGCCTTGGTCCACCAAGGAAACCCTCTCGTTATGGTTCCTACTGATACTGTGTCTTCCCCAGACAATAAAGACCAATGACCAGGAGATCATACATGAAACTGGGCCTCACATTAGGCCATAGGCCAAAATGTCTCTTATACATTACTGTGGGTGTGACCAATAAAAGCAGGAACAAATATTGGCCATAAAGAGAGTGTGAGTGATTAGCCAATATCCTTGTAGTCCCCAGATTATTACACCAAAAACCAGATTCACAATTCATTCGCCCTTTCAACCCCAAAGTGCTGAGGCCATCACTATGCATTACCTGCTGCACATAATTCTTGAACCGCACTTCTCTCATACAGCTTCTTCCCAGAGGCACACTGTCACACACAACACAAATATGCCATCACCAGGATGGTGATTTCCTAATTTTTTATAATTATAGTTCACCTCCTCTGTAACCTATTTCTCTTCTACCCTCTATCTTGTCCCTCTAGTGGAGATTTTCAACCCGATATATGCTACCTCATTGCTACTGATCAATGTAACAGCCCTCAACAACAGTAGGCAGGTGGGCACATATATGACACCGAAGCTCTGGACCAAGAATGTAGCATCACCACACACCCTCTTTTCTGGAATTACCCTAAAATTCACCATATCACATTATCCAGACACCACCCGAAATGGACTCAACCTCCCTTCCCTCTTATGTCAGTGCCAGGGCCCTGAAGCCATGAATCCACATGCCCTCTCCAAGGGCACATCACTCTTCCTCCCACACCTCTCTCACCTGCACTCCCACACCCACAGCCCCCATAGCGGTCTCCCTGGCCTTTTACTCTCAGCTTGTGTGGTCCACAGAATGTCTGGCCATTTCAAGATGGATGAAGTACCACCCCCACCCTTAGTCCACACTCAGAGGCAGCCTGGAGTCCTGCCTGAAGGCCTCCCCCCTGCAAGTTTTTCCTTCAACGTCACCTGAGAACCACACCAATCTCTCTACAGGAGCTGCATTCACCAGTCACAGCCTTCCTCACTCAAGTCCCATCGCCTACGGCCCTCTACCGCACGCTCAGTGAGTCTCTCTCATGACCACTCATGCACATAAGCAAGTCCACCAGGCTGACTACAACACCCCAGGCCACACCAAGGCTCACAACAAAATCCCGTTGAGTGTTTGAAAAACAAGTATCTATCAGTCCCAGACTAAGCTTTACATTCCTAAATTAAAAAAAAGTGGAATTCCTCCCTGGTCCATACAAGCTTCACATTTTTTAAAGTAGTCTTCATCTTGAATTACTCCTCAGAATCCCAGTTAATGAACATTAACTTTCTTAATATGAATTTGTCCATTTCAGTAGATGGTGCTTCCTTTCCTTCAGCTGCTAAGTCCAAACCTTCAGGTCATCTGACTGTTACTTCTCCTCATCGCCAAAATGGAATATCCAGGTGGCCACACCTAAAACACTGATCCCAAATCCAACTGCTTCTTCCACATCCACATCCACAACCTCCCTCATGGGCCAGGTACCATCACACTCACCAAGACCCATCACAACAGCTTCCGTCCTAGACTTCCCACCACCGACCTCTCACCCATCATGCTGCAGCCACAGGGCACCTGAGACCTGAGTTGGATCACCTGCCTCCACTGCTCGAATTACCCCAATGATCTCCTCACCTGCAGAACAAACACCCAAGTTGTCATAATGCTCTTCTAGCCCCAACTCCTGTCCCATTGTTACCAGTTCCTATTTTTTAAAAACAGACATCTGCTGCTCCCTGAATCAGCTGTCTTCACTCCAAACCTTTGCACATTCTGGGACCTATGTTCCCATCTAATTCCACTGGATGCCAAAATCAGAGACCACTCACATGACCCTAGACCTGGACTGAGGATGGTGGGGTTGGTGTCTCTCAAGTTCCTCAGGTCCAAGGATGAGAAGCGCAGGTGGACAACCCCAGAACCCCACTATCTCATGGGCCACAAGAGTATGATGCCTAGCCGAAACCGGTTTAGCTCAGTGGATAGAGCATCAGTCTGCGGACTGAAAGGTCCCAGGTTCAATTCCGGTCAAGGGCATGTACCTTGGTTGTGGGCACATCCCTGTTAGAGGGTGTGCTGGAGGCAGCTGGTCGATGTTTCTCTCTCATCGATGTTTCTAGCTCTCTCTCCCTCTACCTTTCTCTCTGTAAAAAAAAATCAATAAAATATATTTTTTAAAAATAAATTTAAAATAATTTTTTTTAAAAAAGAGTGTGAAGTCCTGAAATAAGCTCCACAAACCAATCCCCCTAAGCGGTTCTGCATCTTCAGGAATCTGCGGAGAGAGAGAGGTCTGCTGAGAGCCTGGCCCCCAATGCCAGGACCCATGGGCTCAGGCCGCTGAGTACTGTCGCCCAGCCTCCAGGCCAGGTAACCTGGAGTTAGCTGATTCCCCAACACCTCAGACCACAGTGCAAATTCTTGCCAGGTTCATTACTTTTACAGGACTTCTCCTTCCTGTCCCTAACTGCTGCCCTCTCTCTCCTAGTCTGTTCTTCCTCCAAGCAGCTTTGGGAAATGTTTAGAACCCTACATCAGACAATTTT